GGGGGGGGGGGGGGGGGGGGGGGGAGTACTTTAGGAATGTTTTGGTGGGAATGTGCTGCTGGGACCCTGGAACACTTAGCATATACCAAAGCTAGTTCAGCTGAATAGCTTCACTAGACTAAACTCCTCTATCCGAGAGTTTCCCTAGTCTGGACTAAAATCTTCAATCAATTGGTCAGTTTCCTGGAAAATGGTACCCTATTCTGGGCCCAAAACTTCTGATTTTTAACCCTATCCCGGAGTAAACTGCTTGAAAACCATACCCTTCATGGAGGCAAATACCTATATAGCCCGCATATGGCAGCCCCCCCCCCCCCCCGACCACCGGGGGTGGTAGAGCATCTGGACTGGTATCCAGAGGGGCATAGTTTTGACTCTCATTGGGTGTAGTCAGATTTTTTCGTCCAAGCTGTCTGTGTCACTGACTGAAACAACATTTCTATCTTTCTCAAAAACCCTTGGGCTACAGGTTTTGGAGAACCAACTTAATAAATTGCACAGTTCCTAAATTAAAAAGAGAGACATAAAAGTGGGTTATTTACAATGTTTATAATACAATTCTAATGTTTGCCATGACAAATGTGCAATGGACAAAAAAACCAGCCTGCTACAGGTCACTCACTATTGCACACAATGTTTGTCACATCTTTTAAAACAGTTAAATAAATTGACAGAAATATGCCAACCTTGTCTGAACTTTTAAAGCTTCACTTATGGAATTGTCTTGCAATAATTTGCCCGCAGAAACAAAAATAGTTAATATTGTTACTGGCAACTTTTGTTTAGAGATCAGGGCCAAGTTGTTCAAAGCTAGGTTAAGATAACCCAGGGTTAGTGAGAGATTTGAATTCAGATTTGAAAGCTTAAAAAGCATTTCAGCTTTAATTCTTTTTGTCTACAAGTTGATGAATGAAAGCTCTAAAAATAACAGAGGAAATTATCCGAGAAAATGCTTTTGAACACAAGAAAAAGAAACCCGGGTTAAATTTAACCCTGGGTTAAGGGCTCAGTGTAATCGGCCTTTGAACAACTGGGCCCAGGAGGATAAAGTTAACAAGATTATAAGGAGCGCATGGGTGTAATCCTTATGTATAATAATACCCTATACAGGCAGGCTTTCCGTCAAAAGAGGGGTTACTAGGAAGGGAAATCTCTCAATTCAGTCAGTAAAAAGACCTAAAACGTATATGACACATGGGGGGAATTCCTTATAAAAGTGACAAAGATGTTTGTTTGAAAATTTAAATTAAACCCTCAAGGGATACCGATATGGTTGTGACCCCTAAAGGAAATTTCTATGTGGTCAGTCAGTGACAGGATATTTTTTGTAAATTTCTTTATGCAAAGTATTAAGCGATACCTGAATGGGCAAATATAATGACTTTTCATCCCTAACACCCTAAGTGACACCAAAATCTGCAATTTACACCCCTATTAAAGTGAGACAACGAGCATCCACATCACTTTTATATGGGACCCCCCCTCCCAACCTAAGTGACACCAACATCTGCAATTTACACCCCAAAGTGAGACAACAAGCATCCCTGTCACTTTTATATGGGAGCCCCCCCCCCCCCCCCCCCC